TTATCTATCTATCTATCTATCTATCTATCTATCTATCCATCTATCTATCTATCTATCTATCTATCTATCTATCTATCTATCTATAAATTCATGTGCCAGCGGTTGTCACCCTCTTGGAATTCACGCAATTTATTTTCTCACACTTTTTTTATTAAACCATTTATTTGATCCAACATGTGTTCTGCCGGTTAAACAAGAAAAAGATCAGATCAGTTTTATCTCAGCAATCTTCAACAAACTGAAAATTTGCCAAATTGTTGTTTGGCAGATTGAAGTCCTGATGTTGAAATTGTAAAAAATTCAGTAGCCTCGATGGGATGCGAAACCATGCATGTACGCTGGCTACGTTTTTGCAAAGGACAAGTGCTATCATTAGTTGAACCACGAGGCCGAACCGATTGCATCGATCTTTTCACATTCGAGTTAACCATCCAACTGACAGAGGCATATGACATCCACCAGTTACCATGTCAATTGACTACCCCGACAGGTTTTCCCTAGAATTCACTTGAGTTCACCGAATGAACTTCCAAGACAAGGCTCATTGTTCAAATGATTGTTTGGCAGATTGAAATTTTCTTTTGAAATTATGATAGATCGTGCGTCGTACAAGAGCGTCGGTTGCGTTCATGAGTGGGTTCGAACCTCTTCCACTTTGTACCAGTTTAATAAAACCTCTGAATAAACGCTTCGGATGTTTCGATTTGATATTTCGTCCAAATGAACCATTTGATCTTTGTTAAATCTGCACCAGCCTCGGTTTTTTTTCACCAAACAATTGTGCCAAAAATGAAAGATGTGTGTGCGTGGGTGGGGCTGGGTAGTGATAATCCAATCAGTCAACTTGTACTGTCATCAATGCTGATTAGACTCTCTAGTTTTGCATTGGATGTATGAAAATGGAGATGCATACCAGATCGTGTAATTCCATACACCGGAACGATTAATCGAACACGTTTTACCGAGCAACTCGAGTGTCACTAGCCACTATTCTCTCGTGTTGAACTGACAAATATGTTTGCATGATCCGGATATCATTTGTGAGGCTGTTCTGAATCGCATTTTGTAAACTTTATTACAAAGTGTTGTTGTTGTTGTTGTTGTCCACAGTCCTATTCTCCATTCCGATCAAGATTCCACCATTCTCCTGATTGCTGTCCCCTATCCACTTTACTCCACTTCTGGTCTCACAAATGCTCGCGGGGGGGGGGGGAGGGTTGAGCTAGGCTGATCGAACTGCCCACAACAGCATGATTGTACCTTGATGCAGAACTTGAGGCGTCATATGGAAATTCCAACTTTCTTCTCATCTCCTCTCCATATACTACTCACTTGTGAGTAGGTAACTTGCCATGATCAAAAATATGACAAGACCAATGAGAGCCAACTGATGTGTTTGAAAGAAAAATTGTCAAATGCTTTATGCATTACCCTGTTTGTCGGAAAGAATTGTGATGACACGTTTCTGATTAGGTTTTTGTGTTAGGCATGCCAAATTTACTGACCTCCCATCTGTAATCCGCAATAAACGATGATCCTCGAACAGAACTACTGCCTTTTGGGAAGTATAACTGTCTATCTGTATGACACTCACGTTTCATGTCTGTTTCCAAATAGGTGTTTGACAACCCTGATGGATCAAAACAGTAGCAATTTACCGGCCACAATTCATTCACCATTCCAAAAACACAAATTGCTGTGAAGGTAATTGATCGAGAAACTAACAGCATTTTTGTTACTTTTTCCTTTAGCTACATGTCTTTAATAGTTGTGATTCGCGCACCTATTGTAAAATATTGTATATTCCATTCTTGATAATCATTGTATGCTTCTCAAAAGGCAACAAACATAACACATAGTGGAGTTGAATGGACACGGACTAGTCGTATTCAGGCTGTTCCCGGAACCGTTGTCTAGCCAACGCAACATCTGCTCCGGTTTCTCTTTTTTGTGCACTCTTTTTTATTCTTGGCATTTAACCCTTACCACAGAATAGAAATACGAAGCTTGTCCTTTGAAAAAGGGATTCTATCTATCTCCTGCACCAGAAAAGGTTCACCTTGGCTTGGAACACTCTTGGGCTGAATAAAATAGCATAACTTTATCGATCGGAGCAAACGAGCAATCGGTGACTGGCTCAGTTAAGGCGCCACACGCTAGATTCGTTTGTTTTTACGGGTTTGAAGAAAACCGAACACTTCTGTGCAACTATGCCGACCAACTGATCGTGATCGTGAAGAATACTTCTAAGTGTTTGACTACGATTTACTGTACAATGTGCAGCGCAGTCACATGTCTGAAAACATATTAGTAATATTAGTAATAATAATAATAACCAATATGATCGAAATTCCTTTAAAACGAACGTTTGTGAAGCAATAGTTTCTATTCAGTTTACCTGTTTCTGTTTTCTGACACCTAGTTACCACCGGTTATTATTCTTGCTCGTAATAAACAATTGTATTCGGTGAACAAGAACTCCCACAGTCTTCAACACAGT